AATCCCATATTGGTTTTTTTTTTTTAGCCTCAATATATTATCACATTAAGAATCTCATATTGTAAAGAAAAAAAGTAAAAAAAAAAAAAAAATCCCATATTCTTGATAAATTTACATATGTAGTCAAAAGCATTCAAAATATGTACTGATAAATGGAGGAATTACAATGACTAAGCAGGATTTGTGAAATCAGCTCGGAATTGTTCTCCGAAGAATCTTCAAAAATATTCCGAAAGTATTCAAAAGTATTCCAACTCTAACTTCTTCGAACTACTACTGCTAACTAGATAGCTTGTGGTAATTTGAGACACATGTGTGTCCTGGAGCTTTTCTTTTACTTACTCTAGTTATTATATCTAGTTACCTAGTTAGTCCCAATTATCTTGTTACCTTTCCTTATCAATAGTTCTCACTAGTTAAATGAACAAGAAATAAGCTCTAGTTAACAGGAATGTATGGTCAAGGTTCTTTGCTTAATCTTTACCTTTGACTTTGACCTTGGGCATGAACTTCAACCTTAAGGGTCAATATGAGGGTTAGAGACAGGCTCAGGTGATGGTACCAGAGTGGGTATCACACAGATCCATATCTGCATCTTGAGGAGGATCAGAGTAAGGGTGTCAGGTTGTGATTTCAGGTAAAGGTGGGGGCTTCTTCTCTGGAGTCAAATGGGGACTCAGCATTGGGAAGGATACAGTGGACTTTTTATCTTCTGGAAACAGAAGTAGGGCTGTAGTCTTTAGAGAGAGAGGTAGCAATTGTCTGTGGAGCCCAAATCCAGATGCAGCCTCTGGAGGGAGAAGTAGGGCCCTCACGTGTGGGGAGACCTCTGGGGACTCAGCTTCCAGCTCTAGAAGCAGAGACTTAGACTCAGGTGTGGGTAATGGGATGTAGTCTCTGAGGCAAGAGATGACTTCTGCAGTCAGAATTGGGGCTCAGCCTCCGGAGAGAAAAGTGTGGACCCACACGGTGGGTATATGGTAGAGACTTAGCCTTTGGATGGAGAAGTGGAATCTTAGTCTTTGGTGTAGGAAATGGGGAGCTTCAGTATGGGAAGTGGGGATTTAGCCTCTGAAATGGGAAATGGGGGCTTGGCCTCTGAAGCTGAAAATCTCGACTCAGCTTCCGGAAGGAAAAGCTGGGACATAGAGGTGGGTGGTTAAGATCAAAGCCAGTTCCACAAAGAAGGGCCTTTGTGCCAGTCTGGAGGGGCTCCCCCTAGTGAGTGAGGGAAGCAGGACACTTTGAGATGAATGCGTTTCTCAGCTTGTTTGCACATGTAAAGTTTATAAAGCATTTAAGAAGCGTGTAAGGTTTAAAATGAATACGTTATTTTGAGCTTGATTTCACATAAACTCTTAGATATACTCTAAGTTACTGTAAGAAGGTCCTTCTGAGAATGCTTGAGTCTGCAGTTGTTTTAATATCAACTGTTACATGTGAATTATCTCTAAGGACCATTAAAAGTGCGGTTTAGGCCGGGCGCTGTGGCTAACGCCTGTAATCCCAGCACTTTGGGAGGCCGAGGCAGGCGGATCACCTGAGGTCGGGAGTTCAAGACCAGCCCGACCAACATGGAGAAACCCAGCCTCTACCTAAAATAAAACATTAGCCGGGTGTGGTGGCTTATGCCTGTAATCCCAGCTACTTGGGAGGCTGAGGCAAGAGAATTGCCTGAAGCTGGGAGGCAGAGGTTGCAGTGAGCCAACATCATGCCATTGCACTCCAGCCTGGGCAACAAGAAGAAAACTGTCTCAAAAAAAAAAAAAAGTTTTCTTTGCCGGGCACGGTGGCTCACGCCTGTAATCCCAGCACTTTGGGAGGCTGAGGTGGGTGGATCACCCGAGGTCAGGAGTTAGAGACAAGCCTGACCAACATGGAGAAACCCCATCTCTACTAAAATACAAAAGAATTAGCCGGGTGTGGTGGTGCATGCTTGTAATCCCAGCTACTTGGGAGGCTGAGGCAGGAGAATCACTTGAACCTGGGAAGCGGAGGTTGCGATGAGCCAAGATCACGCCATTGCACTCCAGCCTGGGCAACAAGAGCAAATTCCATCTTAAAATAAATAAATAAAAGCGTGGTTTAAAATGAATGAGTAATTTTGAGCTTGATTTTACCTATAATACTTAGTATTGACTACATTGAGTCTAATTTCACATAACAAGTTAGATTAAGGACATATTCCTTAATACTGCTTAGATTTATCTAAATTGGTTCTAACTCATTTTATTTACTTTCTCACCATTAGAAGTTTCCTTAGCGGGAAATGTCTGATTCTTAGCTTGTTTGCAAACACTCTACTTGTTTGTAAACATACACTTTTGTTTCAACATAATAAGGTACTTTGGAGTTAACCGTAGATGTGATATG